CTTTTCAATTCTATGATCCTTTATTTCATATACTGTTATAACTTTCACATTTACTGTCATTGCTCAAAGTATATGTAGGAGAATATAAGATACGTGAGTTTAAGATGCGCACTAGGCACAACACGGTACCGAATCATAACTAAAATTGAGATATGATGCACTTCAGTGCAATCATAACCTGAATGAGCACTAACGGTGCTGAACATTGATACACGAATGTACCAAAGCTGAACTGATAACTGAACATTGTTACATGAATGTACCAAAGCTGAACTGATAAGTACTCACTTAATGACATGCCAAATGTAATATACAATGGGCTTATATTTATCATCATAAAATCATTTATTGATCTGTATCTAATAACTGTAAAATATCTGATATTTGTAATTATCTAATAACTGTAAATCATCTAATAACTGTAAACATTTAGAATTCATCATCATAAATATCATACATGGGTAGTTCATACCCAAAATCATTCATAAAACTTGATGAAATTTTTTATTGAAATATTTCATACTAAAATTTATAAATCATACTGGAAAATAAAATAAGGTTGACTTATAACAAGTCGTCCTCAACTGTAATAATCAAACACTCACTTTATTATTATTATTATTATTAAATCAAAATATAAGTCTCACTAAGCTTTAGATTTAAATTATTTATCTTCTACTACTTTAATATATAATTTATCAAAATTCTATATTCTGGTAGTTTGCACTACCTTCAAACAAATATTATTATGTATTAATTAATATATTGAAAAATTATTATGTTTGCACAAATGAAAACTATACTCGAATACGAATATAACCATATAATGCACTCTGTCTAGTTCCACTTGTATAATTTATAGTGAATTTTTAAATTTGACTGATAAAAGCTGTTTCGACAGAATCTGTTGCCCTGTTTTCTGACCTACTACCGATTAAAAATTCATATATTTTTGTGTACACCTCGAAATTAGTCACCCTCTGTTTTAAACCAAGCTAGACTGGTATACGAATATAATAGTATGGATATCATCCTCTAATAAATTATGTATAACTTATGGTGAATTTCTAAACTCGCAATTTGAATTCTAATTTCTAGACAACTTTCCTTAATTAACATCCTTAGCTTAATTACATAATTTTTTAAGCTTAATAAATGAACCTTTAGGCTAGAGTCACAATTCACATAACATTAGGAGTCACTTCTTACTGTAGTAATTTGTCACTGGCTCATTGCAAACTAATGTTTGTACGATAACACAATCACGAATTAAATGCACTAACATTTGCCTTCCTGTCGAATCTCCTCCTACATAATCTTCTCGATCCCATACTTTTTTCCTTCCCTTTAAGCTACTCGAATCACTAAATTTACCGTGGACTGACAACGTCATATAATAACATAAAATTTCAAACTATATGTTAGTATCAAACTAACATAATCTAAACGAAATTATAAAATTCGATAGAAATAACATCGATACTTGAATCAATATAAAACTAAATCATGTTTCCTTCATAATTTTAAACTTCTCAAAATGCTTATTCAATCCCATGAATATTTATTTCCACTATCAACCCTTCAACTTTTGCCAACTACACAACAAACCACTAATTATGAATTCTTTCTAGAATTCACCTTACCTTTTCTATTAACTTCATGATGATCTTTCACCATTATGATTATTTCACATTATTAACATAAAATTTCCAGCACCTCCATAAAGTATTCAAATCAATACTTAAACATTCAAAAGCTTGCCATCCTATACTTTCTTAAACTTTGTCAATTCAATTTCCAATCTCTGTAAACTTGTAATTTGATTCAAACTTAATAGTTAAACAAAAATTTCAACAAGCTTCCAGAATTGTCCTAATTTACCCAAATGATACTTCTACATTTATTAACTTGCAAACAAGTCCCCATTTCTTAAGACCTTTCGAATTCCAACCCAAACTCTTACCAAAATTTTCAATTTGGTTCCAAATAACTTTCCAACTTAATTTTCCAGCATCTAAATACTAAATATTATCATTGAATACTCCAAAGCTCACATTTATACTATAATGTCCCAAAATCCTTAAAACTTGTAAACCAGCCCTTTTTCACTTTCAATGTTTCAAATTGATCCAAATTGATCTCCAAGTCACTTATAACACTTCTAATATCAATTCTAAACCATAGGAAATTTTCTAATATTTTCCCTAATTTCCCCCAATTGGCAGAATACCACTAAGTCCTTAGGGTGAACTTTTTCATTCAATTTCAAGAATGAATTCAACTTCCTTATATTAAATTCATGCTATTCTAACCATAAAAACATCAAATTACATCAAGATCCCAATATTTCCAAAAACCCTAATTAGGCCAAAGCATGTACACATCAAATTAATCATCATACATGCCTTAGAATTAATCTCCAACATAAAAAACATTTGTCATAACTTTCAATTTTTCAAAACCACAAACCTTACATAGACCATAATTTTCAATCTCAACATATAAGCATCTTCGCCATGAAATATTGGTACCAAATGATAGAGAATTTGATGTAAAACATTTTTTTATTTCACAACTTTTTCCAAAATCTTACTAAAATAGCTCAAAAAATGAAAAGAAATTTTTTTCTTACCTTGAAGGGGTTCACGGCAGCAGTCGATGGAGGAATAAGAATTCTAAAATTTTCTAGACATTTTCTAATACACATGGAAATTTAACCAATTTAATTAAATTTAAAATTCAATTCTTGAGAATTTCCCTTTTTGTCAAATCTTAAAATTTACCAAATGTCATTTATCCATTAAAATATTCTTTGGTCAAAGATGAATCAATTTGGCTTTGAATTTCTAATTTGGCCATGCAATTTTTGAAAATGACATTTTAGTCACTAAAATTCCAATATTCAGTCAAATCTAAAAACTTACATTGTTCTGAGCCAAATTTATCTGATCTAAAATATGAAAATAATATTTCCAACCATTTTATAACATCCTTCAATTTTTTGAAAAATTCCGGTTCGATCCGATTATCCGTTTTCAATACCAAACTTTATCGCTTTATAACTTTTAACTCAAATCCCGTACCAAAAATCCGATTCCCACAAAAATCATTTTTTAAGCCAAACTGTTCATTTACGAGCTTAAATCTATAACTTTTCAAAATTACATTTTCGGTCACTAAACTTTTCAAACTTTATGCTTTAGCAACTAAACTTTCAAAAATGTCATTTTAGTCACTAGTCAAAATATGAGGTATTACATATTCTGAGCAAGTCACAAATCGATAATAAAAGCATGAATCTAAGTAAGGTCTGCCTAATCACAATTCGGAATCGTCGACGCTAACCTGCCCAACACCTGACCAGAGGAGTAGCGAGCCACCACCTCGACCATTGCCAAAGAAGAAAAAGAGTTGAAAGAACCGTCCACCAGGGTTTTAAATAACGTTCGCGGTCACGTTTTCGGTCGCGTCGCGTTTATCATCGTGAATTTTAAAAAAATTAAAATAACGAAATAATAGCGGAAAAGCGGTCTGCAGTTGCCGCGATTGGACGCGATCCGTTAAATTGCGGCTGTGATCCGCCGCTATTGGTGTGATCCCGCTTCACACTGTTATTTTCCGCGATAGCAGTTTTAGACATCACCGTGACCACAATATAACGGCCACGATACCATTATTCAAACGCTATTTAAAATCCTGACGTTCACATTGATTTTAATGATTCCAGGAGAGGCCTCCACGTCTCGGCAATGGTAGGGGAAGAAGGAGAAGCCTGGGCAATAGAAACAGATGGCGGTCCGCTACCACGAGCAATGTCTCTAGCCGTGGAAAACTCATCCTGAAGAAGCTTCGCGTTCATTGCCAACCCCTAAGGCGGTGGGAATGTGTAGAGTTTACTCAAGATTATTTATTAATAAAAGTAATAATTTCATTTACTAAATGAAAATTTTATATTATTATCATAATACAAAGTAGACTTTTTTATGGTCGGGCGAATTGTACTAATCAAGCTTTGAATACTTTGAAGTAGTTCGATACGATCCAAAATCAAATTAAAAAAATGTTATTTTTATTTGAATTTAATTATAAAAATATTAATATATATTTTTATATTTTATAATAGGGTAAATTAATCATTCTTCACCGAATTTTACTCTCATATTTTACTCACCGTACTTTCAATTTTTCCAATTTCCTCATTAAATTTTTGAATTGTTCATGTTTTGCTCACTCTGAATTATTTTATTATTATTTATGTATGATGTAACATTTATTATTAATAAAAACAAACAGCGGTCGTCCATTGTTCGCCAGTATAGGATACCATCGTTGACATTCATATATGGTAGCCATTCAATCTTAGATTTCATGGGTAATTTTGCATCGACTCTATGATTTCGAATCTGGTGGTTGTTTCACTAGAAAATGTCCCAAAACTGTGAATATCAATGACAACATTCCGATTTCCTTACTTTTGATCTTTAATTCATGGACATCGAAGCATATTTCGACAAAATTGAGGTCGGATTCGGACTTAGGGGTTGAGGCGAAGTGACCCATGAAATTTAAGACCGAAACGACCACCATCTACAACGATTAACAGTGACGTCTGACGTCGACGAACAGTGGACGACCACCATCGATTTTTATTTTATGTTTTAATTATTTTTATATTAAATAATAAAAAAATACCACGTAAAATCATTCAGAGTGAGCAAAACAAGAACAATATGAAAGTTTAGTGAGAAATTTAGAAAAATTGAAAGTACGATTAGTGAATTAAGAGAGAGAGTAAAATTCGGTGATGAATGATATATTTTACCCTTTATAATAATATAGGTCTTAATAACTTTGTTAAACTGACAAAGGACATTCCCGTCATTTCAAAATACCAATGGCATTCCCGTCATTTTCTCAAAACCGAAGACAAGAAAACCCCAATCATATAATGTTTTTTTTTCTTATTTAGTTCACTAAATGCTTTTGATGTTTCTCTTGTTTTTTTAACTTTTCTTTCATCTGCTTGTTTTTGCTGCGTTTTAGATCTCGTCTTTCATTACTTCGTTTTCCTCCGCCACCAGCCAGCGACTCCACCGCTTTTCCGCCCTCCGTACACTCAGATTCGAAACACACTCGTTCGGTTATCCGGGTCCCTTGTTTTCATCTCTAAAATCAGTCTTTTATTTCTTTAATTATTGTTCACTTTTTATTTATTTTAAAAATTGTGATTTAATAACAGTTATGGGTTTCGTTTTAAAAAATGTATATTATCTTGTTTTTCTAGGGTTTTAAATTTGGGCATTTTGGTGTTTTTCATCGACTCAAGGGGCAATTGAGACATTTCACCTGTTTTGTGCTTTTTCGTTGCTTCTTAGTAAGGACGATTTGACGGTTCTACCCAAAACGAGAAGTGAAGAGAGAAAACAATCGGTTTTCTCACTTGACGATTTTACCCCTTAGTAAACGATGATTTAACGGGATTAACCCCTCTGCTTACGTGGCATAAAAAATGAGTTATCACCCACATAGAGGTCTGACAACCGGAATCTCGAGAAAGCGTAAAGAGATAGAACCGTTTTGTTCGCTTAAACCGTCGATTCCGGTCCAATCATCGGTCCATACAGGTCCAAATCCCCAGTCCTCTCCTAATTGTTCGAACCGGCTTTTAGCAGGCTACATGGCACATGAGTACTTGACGAGGGGAACCTTATTGGGTCAGAAATTCGATCCGGCTCGATCAGAGGCAGTTCCGGTCTCGATCGGTTCGCTGAGTGGATCGATAAAATCAGTTACGCAGGAAACCGAACCGAAGAATCTCAAGAAAGAGACCCAAAGCTACGATGACGTGGCGATAATCTTGAAGGACGATGGGACCCACATTCCGGGAATCGTTAACCCTACACAATTGTCAAGGTGGGTAAAGATGTGAAGATTCACGATGACGTGGAAACAAGTGATTGGTTGTCATTTGGTCTTAATCTTAGTTAATATATAATTATATTTTGTTCTTCCTTAGTTTGACGTATGCTTTGTTTTGTCTTTTCATATATGCAAATGTAACATGTATTTGACTATGTTTTATTAATGGTACAATGTATTTTTTTTAAAAAATAATCGAAAATAGTTTGGTTTTAATATAGCAATCGTCGATTAGATGTAAGATTGGACTTCAAATTTCGTCAGTAATTCATAAATTTAGAAACGAGAGTCTAAAATTTTTATTCTGCTAGTTTCTCTCTCTTAGTACACCAAATTAAATTTAATAATTTTTTTAAAATAATGTATATTCACTTAATCCCTAGGGGCTTAAAGCTTTTGTCCTTAGTTTTACTAAATCTTATGAATGATGCAATTTACCTATAAAAAAGGTGCCACGTGCAAATCGTCCGTTAAATTTTTAACAGCAAGGTAATAAAATAAAAGAAAAACTAAACGTTATGTATAGTTTTGAAAAAATTAAAAACTTAAGTATTAAAACAGACTAAAACTGATAGTTTAAATATTAAATATGTAATTTACCTAATTTAATAAAGTTAAAGGGTTCGTATCCCGGACTATGATCTTATTTATATAAAAATCCAAAATCACCCATTGAATCAAATAGTCTAAAACAACCACAACATCAAACCTACTTTAGAATCCAACAGTGTTGAAAAACTTGCAGAAAAGTGTTCCAAGCCAAATCTTTAACAATGGCAGAATTTTCCTTCCAAGTTCTTGAGATGGATAAGAGAGATTTGTATAAAGAGAAAACCTTTCCTCTACGCGGCCTTAATTGCACCGGATCTTGCTTTCAGGTTGAGGAAGATGGCCCTGAAAGTTACAAGCAAAAGCAAACAACAAAAGTATGTTGGTAATGCTCAATCCCACATAGTATTGGAAACACTATTGGGAATGGTATTTAAGGCTTGGCTTTCCTACTTCCTTGTTGAGTGATAGAGAACAAGGGGGAGTCTCGCGCACCGCCGCCGCCGCCGTCCGTCTCGTCTCGGCACGGCACGGCACGGCACGGCACGGCACGGCACGGCACGGCACGGCACGGCACTGTACGTGGTCGTGGAAATACGTGTCTTCGGCACGTCCGCGCGGATACTATCTTTTTAGAGAAAATTCTTGAGGAATTTCTCTTTGAAAGAAACAAATGGAAAATGTGAATAATTTCAACTGATATTTATAGGCTGTTGAGGACTGTTTAAATTTCAAATGATAACAATTGATATTCATCTAGACGTTTCAGCTGTTACAAAAGAAGAGATTTAATCCTGAAATTTTATGGACGATATTAACCCTATTTCTAGCCTATAAATAGAGAGCTATATTCAGCTTCTCAACTCACTCTCAAACATTCACAATTCACTTACAAAAGTGTTTTCTACAGTTCTCTCTATGAGTTCTCTCTGAGTGCTTTCCAAACAGAAGAGCAATACCACCAGCAGTCCACTCCGATTTCAGGTGTGCGGAATTCGGAGCGCCGTGTTAACCTCGGGGGACGGTCCGCCTACTGCAACGATTACACACATCGGGGCGAATTCGTTTCTAAGGCAGTGGTTTTTACAATGACACTGTTTACGAATTTATTCATTTCAATTACTGTTTATATTTCCAGTCAGTGCTAACGGTGTAGTTTTGCAGTTCATATATCCAACAATTTAGAAACGAATTCCATATACTACAATCATGACAACACCTTTGAGCAAACTAATCCCTGATCTTTCCAAGCTCAATGCACTTAATGGAAAGAATTATAGAAGGTGGTCCCAAAGAATCCTGATATTCTTCGAGCAGCTTGATCTTGACTACGTGCTGCTCAAGCCACCACCTACCATGCCGCCAACCCCAACTGCCGATAATGATACGGATGTGGTCCTCAATGATGATGCCTTAGCAACCGCCGCCGCCGCTCTCGCTACCTACGAGAAATACAAGGAAGACAACAAGACGGTGCGAGGACATCTGCTCAGCCACATGTCAAATAAACTATTTGATATGTTCCTTAGAGAAAGGAGTGCCAAGGCAATATGGGACACTCTCGACAAAAAGTATGGTGCGGACGATGCGGGCATCAAGAAGTACGTTGTTGGCGAATGGCTCAAATTCCAGATGACAGACGACAAGCCAATAATGGATCAAGTCCATGACTATGAGAACTTAGTCGCTGACATCATCGCTGAAGGGATGCAAATGTGTGAGGTACTGTAAGCCAATGTACTCATTGAGAAGCTGCCCAAGTCCTGGTCCGACTACCGCAACTCTCTTAAGCATAAGAAGAGAGACATTTCGCTTGAAGAACTTGTGAGCCATATGAAGATTGAAGAAGCCGACTATTTAAAAGATAAGCTTACTAATTCTATGAGTAATTTATCTTTTAAAGCTAACTTGGTTGAGTCTAAATTTAAGAAGATCATGAAACGTGGGAATCAAGACAAGAAGACGAAACCACAGGAGGCTACCAACTTCAAGAAGTCAGGAAAGGCCAAACCGGAAGGAAAGACGTTCAAGTGTTATGTATGCAGTTTACCCGACCACAAAGCTTACCAATGCCAATACCGCTCAGACATCCAGAATGATAACAAGCCACAGATGCACGTTGTAGAAGAAGATGATGAGATCATTGTTGCGGTGGTCTTAGAAGTTAATTTGGTGGAGAACAGTTCATAATGGGTAGTTGACACTGGCGCTTCGAAGCATTTCTGCTCAAGGAATGAGTTTTTCACCGAGTTCGAGGATGGGAACACTGGTGAACTCTAGCAGTTCTGAAGTGCTAGGCAAAGGCAAGGTTTTACTCAAGATAACTTCTGGTAAAATTTTGGCTTTAAATAATGTTATGTATGTACCTGCCTTGTGTAGAAATTTGATAAGTGGTGGTCTTCTGAATAAGGTAGGCATTAAGTTAGTTTTTGAGGCATATAAACTTGTACTTTCCCGAAATGGTGATTATGTGAGGAAAGGGTTTTTAAGCAATGGTTTATTTGTCATAGAAACCCAATTTAATGAAAATAAAGCTAACACTTTTTCTTATATTGTTAAATCCACTGATATGTGGCATGCTAGATTAAGACATGTGAATATTCATGCTTTAAAGAAATTAATGAATATGATTGTTCTGCCTAAACTAGACACAACTAGCTTTAACAAATGTGAGATTTGTGTAGAAGCTAAGCATACTAGACCTCACTTTAAGACTGTTTCTAATAGAAATACTGAACTGTTAGAACTCATTCATACTGATCTAGCAGATTTTAGAAACACTGAAAGTAAAGGAGGAAAATACTACTACATAACTTTTGTAGATGATTATTCAAGATATACAAAAGTTTATCTCCTAAGAACTAAAGATGAAGCTGAAAACTTCTTTCTTATTTATAAGGCAGAAGTAGAAAATCAGTTAGATAAGAGAATCAAACGGGTTAGATCTGATAGAGGTGGTGAATATGGATCTAATTTCTTAAAAGATATTTATGAAAAGAATGACATATTCATGAAACTTCAGCTCTCTATTTTCCTCAACAGAATAGTATAGACGAAAGGAAAAATAAAACTTTAAAAGAGATGATGAATTCTTTACTAATAAGTTCAGGGTTATCTGATAACATGTGGGGGGGGGAAGCCATTCTATCGGCAACTCATATCTTGAACCTAGTTTCTCATAAGAAATTAGATTCTACCCCATATGAATTGTGGAAATGATACGCTCCTAATTTACAATACCTAAAAGTGTGGGGGTGTCTGGCCAAAGTGGGTTTGCCAGACTTTAAGAAGTCCACCATCGGACCTAAAACTGTTGATGCAGTGTTTATAGGGTATGCTACAAATAGTGTTGCATACATATTCATGCTTTTACAAGATTATTCTATTTGTTAGTCAAGGGATGTTGTTTTCTTTGAAAATACTTTTCCTTTAAAGGAACCGAGAATGAATATTGAAACACAAATAGAATATATTCCATCCACTTCTTCTAGTAATCCTGCTAGGTCTTCTGAATAAATTGATTTCGAGCCTAGAAGAAGTAAAAGGCAAATAGTTGAAACCTCTTTTGGACCAGACTTTATTACTTCCTTTATTTCTGAGATAAATGATTTAGACTCCATTTCAGATCCTATAGCTCAAATTTTTCTGTTAGATGAGGATCCTAAAACTTTTGAAGAAGCTATAAGATCTATCGATGCTAGTTTTTGGAAAAGCGTTGTTAATGATGAACCAGAATCGATAATGTCTAATCATACTTGGGAATTAGTTGACTTGCCTAAGGGATTCAAACCAATCTCCAACAAATGGGTATTCCAGAAGAAACTAAGGTCAGATGGTTCGATTTAGCGGTACAAGGCAAGGTTAGTCGTCAAAGGGTTCACTCAAAGGTTTGGTTTAGACTACTTTGATACATATTCTCCCGTTACAAAAATCTCAACGATTCGTGCATTATTTGCACTAGCCTCTATTCATAAGTTGCAGGTACATAAAATGGATGTTAAGACTGCTTTCTTGAATGGAGATCTAGATGAGGAGATTTACATGGAGCAGCCACTAGGTTTTGAAGCACCTGATATGGAAGGCAAAGTCTGTAGACTCAAAAAGTCACTCTATGGACTTAAGCAGGCTCCTAAACAGTGGTATGAGAAATTTCATAAAACTATTCTTAGTTTTGGTTTTTTTTGTGAATGGTTCTGATGCTTGTGTGTATTCGAAGATGTTTGACACTGAATGTTTTATCATAAGTCTTTATGTTGATGACATGTTGATTTTCAATTCTAACATTGAGTTCATTAACAAAGTTAAAAATTTCTTGTCCACTAAGTTTGAGATGACAGATTTGGGAGAAGTAGATGTAATCTTAGGAGTCAAAGTTACCAAAACTGAGAAGGAATTTTCTTTATGTCAAGCACATTATATAGAGAAAGTGCTAAAGAAATTTGACAGCTTTGATGTCGTCCCTGTTCGAACTCATTATGACCCTAGCATACATCTAGT